TGCGTAGTGAAACCCTAGCTCCTGACAAAATAGGACAGGAAACCCTACCCCAACATAGGGGTGTTTTGTTCTCTTTACTTGTTATGTGCTTTTAGAGTGTTGCTCTACAGGGAACGCACATGTCAGTTTGCAAGTTTGAGTATCAAACCTGGGGACACCAGTATCAGTATCAATTGTAGGAATCAGTCATCCGCGGGTATCAGATTCAGTATTTTGGGAACAGTGATCAGCAGTAGGGTACAGTTGTTTGGCTACACCCGTGTTTGATCAGTTTGGGCTGAAATACTATCTGTTTTCCTTTCAAGGTTCAAAGAGTTGCAGAGTTGATACAGGATAGCCAGTGTCTCCCCCTTGCTGAGGCAGGATTTATGGCGGCACAAAATTCAGAAGAAGTTGTGGTTATGACGGCTGCATTGGAGCAGGGAACCGCTCCACAAAGTGAGGCCGCCATCAGTATGTCATACCCGCCTAGGTCGCCTGTTGTGCACCCGGTCTGGGCTCCCCAGTTATATCAGGCTCGTGAGCCCACCACCTTTGAATTGATGGGGATGATAGGCGACCTCCAAAGGTCTGTGGCAGACCTCAACTATGGAATGTCGGCTTCACCGCCAGCAGCGCCGTATGTCGGGAATTTTGTACCACAGGAGCCCCCGCTACTAGGGCGGATTGTGATAGAGCTCAGCCAGCCAGAGGTGGCTTCCAGCTACAGCCACGACATGCCAGCACCAACCCCGACCCTCGATCAGGCTGAGGCCAAAGGAAAAGACAAGGCAAAGATAGATGCCGACCCTATTGAACAACTGCTGTGGGCAGTCGAGGCTTTGAAAGTCAGAGGAATGAACAAGCAACAAACGTCTGCAATAGTGACCAAAGCTGTGGATGATGCTTTCCCCGCTCCGATCAAAGGCAGTTCAAGCCAGACAGAAAACCGGGATGGGCCCCCGTCATGCCCAGACAATTCCAGTAGTTCCCAACCCTGCACCGGGGAAGGTTCAAAAAGCCAAGGTAGCGCCAGCTGATCCTTTCGCCAGCGCATCTGGCAAGAATCCTCAAACTACAAAGTACCTGCCCCGAGGGCGCAGGGTCTTTCACGACCTCCACATGCCTTTGTCTAGGGCATTGCTAATATTGGCGAAGAATGGGCATCTTAAGCCTTTGGAACCCCGGCCACTCCCGAAGAATCTCCCCACCACCCATGATGCTACCTTGTACTGCGCATACCATCAACAGTCCGGTCACAGCACCAGATGTATAGCTTTTGCTCCCCTCCATACACGTGTATGGAGGGATCTCCCTCTTGTAAAGCTTGTCTTGTAAGCTTTACAAGAGGGATATAGGGAGGCTCTCTCTCTAAAAAAGGCAAAGAAGAGGCTTTTAGACATTTTGAGGGAGAAAAAATACAGACCAAGCTCTGGTTTTTCTTAGGGTTAGGGTTAGATACACTCACCTATCTCTCTCTCCCTCTCTTTTGCACACTAGGTGTTTTGTGTCTTACTATTGCACACAAACACCTAGTGTTTCACCTTCCTTTGGCTCTTGAGGTTCTAAGGGACTGATTTTGAAGTTTTGGCATTGGATTCAAGCTAAAGGAGGCCATTGGTCTGTTTCTGCCGAGGGGCCAGTTGCACCGACAAGCCGATTGAAACAGCTGTTTGCTATCTCAACTTCATGCTTGCTTTCAGCATAAGTGCCAGAGAATTGGATTGGGCTGACAGTACATCTCGCCTGCTCTCCTGCGCGCCAAACTCATTGCATTAACATAAGTTTTTCAAAAAAAATAACTTTTGAACACTGCGGTGATGAAAACGAAGAGGAAGGAATTCCTCGGGTTTTGCCAAATTTTGATCATTTTGAGAGAAAGAGAGGCGTGCTAAGCCTTTTTATGAATAAAATCATGTTTGTCGGCGTGAGTATTGAGAAGGACCCTGGCCTGATCCAGATTGGTTCCACACTATCTTCGGCGCGAGCGATTTGTCGCTTTCTTAAAAACCTTCAAAAGTAAATGTTTTACGCGGCCCTGCGAAGACCTGTGTGGAATCGCTCTTGAGATTGCGCAGCCTAGGATCGCTCTCAGCCTCAAGATTCAACCTATTTGTTTTCCGAGTTTGAACCCGTTCAGAATATTCAGAAAGTTCAACGGACAAACGCCATGGAGGCCCGTGTGGCCAGTTTTGAAGCAGCCCTCGAGCAAGAGGCACCAAAAGCCGAATCAGAAGGAGTAGATCTCGCCAGAAGAAGCTCGTGGAGCAACCTTGATGGATTCTTCTGCAAATCAGTGCAACAGCCGTTCTCCTGGACACAGAGAAGCTTCAATTTCAAAAAAACCATTTGGCATGGACTTGCTACACTTTTACCCTTTGAGAGGCTCGCTGGGCCAAAAACCCGGAAGGGCGGCCCAGGCAAAAGTTAGAGCAAGAGAAAAATACAAAAAAAAGAGCAAAAAATACAAAAAAGAAGAAAAGAAAAAAAAAATGCAAAAAAGAAAAAAGAAATGAATAAAAGAAGAAATAGAAAATGGAAAGAAGCTCGCAAGGTCGTAAACCCGCATTGGGCGCCTTGGCAAAAATGAGAGCCAAACAAAGTGAAGGTTAAAATACCCGAGTGGACCTTAGCCGGAACTATGTAAGGCTTGATTCCCATGTTTGGGATACGTAGGCAACTTCATCATGAAGTCCAGCCCCCAACGCTTTCATAAGCGTCTCAGTCCATGCAATGGTTTCAACTTCATCCCAAAGTCCAGTCGCCAATGCCTTCAAGGTGATTGTGTCCATATATGTGTTGTGACCGTCTTCGTCATCGCAGTGTCCAAGAGCTTGACCACCGCCAATGAAGACTGTTTACAGATTGCTGCGGCACCATCCCAAACAAGGGGCAACTTTCCGTTGCCACAAGCCGTCGTGAGACGCCATTCAGACTAGGGGCAACTTTCCGTTGCCTCACACCCCCCCTTCAAACCAGGGGCAATTTGCCATTGCCTCCGATCCGAGGTTGCACATCTCGAAGAGTAAGTTCCATGCTCGTTGAGCATCAGCTGTTTGAAAAATAGTTTTTGAAAATTTTTACTGAGGTTGACTATTTTCTCGAAAACTATTTCATTTTCCAAAACTGGACCATTGTCTTGGACCCAAAAAGGAAAATTTTCAGTGCTTGCTGCCTGACTCGCATGCTTTTCAAATCAAAAAGTCGAACAAGTACGTTAATCCGACTCTCGTTTTGATCAAAACCGTTTTAGTAGAAAGCAAAAAATGAAAAAAATGGTTAAAATGATGAACTAGGGGCACAGTTGAGCCAGGCGTTCTGTCTTTCCCCCGTCATCGACGTACTTGCCAGAAGGGCACTCTGCCCGCCAGAAGAAATGGCGGTGAGCTAACGGCATCGGGCGTGAACCCGCAACTTCCTATTCATCCATCAATCACCCCGGGGAGGGATGAAAAATGAGAGATTGAAGAATAGAGAGGTGTAAGTTGAGAGAAAAGCGAGGAAAAAAGGGTTTTGAGAGAAAATCCGAGCTTGAGAGTCGAGTGATGTGAGGATCACAAATCAGAAAGGGTGGGAAACAATACCCAGATTGAACTGGCTCCTCGTGGTCCGAGGTCTCCCATCTTCGTTTACGCATCTGTGTGTCGTGTCTCTTTCGTTTGACGGTCTCGTCTTTTGTTTTGAGTCTCTCCCGAGCGTGTCTCGTTGTGTTTAGGTCGTGTACCTCTTTGTCTGAGTCCTCCCCTCTGTGTTCAGTGGTAGGCTTGATATCCCGGTTTGAAAAACCCTCATTCGATTTCAAAAATCGTTTATGCTCAGAATACTGTGCCATTCTCTACATTTGAACGTATTTCGACTCCAACCGGTTCCACCTTTGAGGCCGTCTTGTCAGATTGGGCTGTTTGTTTGAGAATTGCCGTGTGCAGAATGAATCGAATGTTGTGTTATGGGCTGTGTGCAGATTAATCCCCAGTAGAGCAAGGGCTGTGTGTCCAGAATCAGGCAGTGGGCTGCTTGGGTTATTTCGCCGTCGGCTGTTTAGTTATCTGATTATTACAGTGCAAGTGTTCAATTTTCAGACAACCGGTCAGTTCCATTTACATTGAGGTGTAACATGATGAGATGCGATGCAATGCATGAGATGTGTAAATGTAAACACTTTTTCAGACAAAAAGTCCGTTTCATTTCATTATCTTTTCAAATGTCCAAGTTTTGGAAACAAAATCTGCCTGCGGCAGTACAAGGTAATCTATCTACCAACCAAAAAGAAAAGTACAAGAAAGAAAAGATAGCAAAAATCCGCATCTCTGCCGAGCACTCCAAGGGCTGTCAGTCCGTCCTGGTCCTCTTCCTGGACGAGGGTCCAGGAGCATCATCAGCGTCGTCGTCAGAGCCCGAGCTAGAACCGTCTCCGGTCTCCTCCTCCGATGACTCTGCCTCCGCCTCTGACTCCTCGTCGTCGTCATCGTCCGGGACTGAAGCTCGCGAGCTACTCCCGACGTGAGTACGCCCTCCCCTGGTACGAGGAAATATCCTGCCCTCCTCATCTCTCCCCCGAGCAGGGACAGAAGGTCTGGCCGGAGCACCTCCTGCCATGGGAATCTGGAAAGGAGGCTGAAAAAGTACACAAAAAGGGAAATGCATCAGTACACTGTGAACAGTTTAACAGTGCAGAATGCAGTATATGAGTGCAGTATGAGAATGCCGTGAGCAGTTTATCAGTACAGAGTACGGTGCAGAATGCAGTGCATGCAGTGTGTCAGATACTATGAGATCAGTGTATCAGATGTTGTGCCGTGAATCAGATTATGTGAAGCAGTGTATAAGTGGTTTGAGGCCAGTGTCAGAAGGACATACCGGTATGCTGTAGAATCATGAAGGATTGATAATGGTTTCTTCCTACTTGGAAGCACATGCAGGTAATTAAAGAACCCCTTTTTAAAACAGAGAGAAACAGAGAGAGAAAACAGGCTTAGTTCAATTTACAAATTACAACACAGATATGAACATGTTAATGTGATCTAATTGAGAAAATTCACCTCAAAAAGATTAATGGAAAAGTTGAGAATTGTTGGAAGTGCTCTACCACCAACATAAGCTTCTGCATCGACATTCAAATGCTCGAACCGGACTTCAATGGTGGGAAGATCAATCCCAACTCTGTAAAAATCAGAAAAACAGAGACAAAAAAATAAATGTGCTTCAAACACGATTACATCAACAACCCAGATCAATTTACAATCATAAAATCCCAAAAAAAAGAAGAAAAAATTGAGATTACCTGTCAATGCGTTTCTTGAGCTTCAACAAGAACTTCTCATTGTCATCCTCTGCGATTTTCACGAGCCTCTCCAACAGATTCTTTCTCTCCACCACTCCAAGATTTTTGATGTCAATCTCTCTCGCATGGCCTTGTTCTTCAGTCAGAATACCTCTCTGAATCCTCTGATAAGTGGGTAATTTTTCCAGAGCAGCCCATTTCAGAGCATCTTCGTCGTCTTCATCGTGAAAAGATTTTGAGAAAACTTCTCTCCCGCTGTTCCTCCATATGTTGGAACTACTCAAACGAGCACTACTCACTCTCAGTATATTATCACCACCCTCCATTGTCACCAATGTTTCTCAAATTTCTTTTGAGAAATTTGATTGAATCTTTGATGTGTTATTTTTATTTTTTAGAGGAGAAGAACAGATGGGTATCTTTTGGTGTGTCTCTGTTTCTAGGTGTTGGATAGTGGGTATCCGTCTTTGTTTCTTCTTGTATTTTGTTGGGTAATTCGTTTGGTAGTTAAAGGAATATGATGTGTGAGAGACAAGAAAGAGAGCGTATATGTATTGGTTTTGAAGTGAGTGTGTGATGTATGTAATGATGTCATTGCCATTTGGGAAAATTATTTGCAATGTCAAAATTGTTTTTTAGTCGTAGAGCGGAACAATAATTTCATTATTATGGTGGAATAAATTTCGTTTGTATGTGGTGTAAGTTCTTTTTAGAGGGATTTTTTTTAGGATTTCAGATATTAAGATTTTATAATATAAAGGATATTTAATATTTTTATAATATTTAAGATTTCTCAAATTTTCATCCAGAGAAATTTCAAACCAGAGAATTTTGAAATTTATATAGTTTGTTTAATTTTTTTGATTTTCTATGTTTTAAAATTTCTCTAGAGTTGAATTTTCTCTAATTTATTCACAAATAACTCTGTGATTTGTTCACAATTTTCTGTGTATTTGACTAATATTCTCTGATTTACTCATAATTTTCTCTATGTTTTAACCAAACTAGAGAAAATTATGTCTGTTACTTTTCTGTGTTAATTTTCTCTGTGTGATGGCCAGAGAAATTTGTTGATTTTCTCTGGTCAAATCACATTCTCCCACTGTGATCAAATCACACATTCAATTTCAATCCATAATTTCAAGTAACCAAATCCATAATCTAAAAACTCAAAATGAATTCAAACCTTATCAAAATTTCTTACATCAACTGTCTTCAAACAAGACACCTTAAACTCTATCAACAAATCTCTCTTCATCAATGCCAACTTTACCAACGCCTCCGCTGCAGTCGACCTAGAGAAATTTCCATCTAGAGAAATTTCAAACCAATTCTCTGGTTTGTTCAATTCTTTTTGTTTTCTTTGCTTTGAAATTTCTCTGGGATTGAATTTTCTCTAATTTGCTCACAAATATCATTATAATTTGTTCATAATTTTCTCTGTGTATATTGATATTGCTTTGTGGAAGTTTGAAACCACCAAATACTACTGCATTGTCATTGATGCTCATGGCCATCGTGATTTCATTAACTCTACCACTGGTAGTTTTGAAGCCGGTATTTCCAAGGATGGTCAGATGCCTGAGCAGCATGCTAGAAACAAAATGCAACTCTTTTGAAATTTCTCTGAGTTGAGAATTTCTCTGGACTAGGGAAGAATTTCTCTAAACTCACTTCAACTCAGAAATTTTTTCTCAAAGCCAGAGAAATTTTCCTCACCAACCCAGAGAAATTCTCCTTCTCCGAATCACTCAACCCAAAGAAATTCACAACTCAGAAATTCCATTTTCTGTCACCATTCGAATCTGACCTCTTAGCTTGCTTGATCTTCTCGAGCTGAACCTGAGTATCCTTGAACAGCTGCATCCTCTTAACCTCCAAATGTTTAGCGAATTGCATCATCTACTTCTCCAATTCAATCATCTACCTCTACTTCTTCAATTCCTCATAAAATATGAATCATCCACCACCAGAGACAGCGGTTTCTAAGGAAACACCACCTGCTGGACCACCAGCCCCGGTAGCTTACACTTCCTATCTTCATAACAATCGATAAATTCAGATAATCTTCCTATAATTTTCCCTTGAAAATCGGAGCTTTATCACCAATCTCCATAAATTTCACCTCCAATTTTACCTTCTAGATCCACAAAGCTTGTGTACCATGTAGAGAGATGGGTGGTAATGGCAAGCTTCACAAGCGGAAAATCTCTATATAGAGATCACCAAGGAACCTCCCACTGAGTACGTCTGTCCCATTTCTGGTTCCTTGATGTTCGATCCAATCGTCGTCTCTTTAGGCCAAACCTTTGAGATCATGTGCGTACAAGTCTGCAGACACCTAGGTTTTGCTCCTCTACTTCCCGACGGCTCTAACCCCGATTTCTCCACTGTCATCCCCAATTTGAATCTCAAATCGACGATACTCAACTGGTGCCACTCCTCCTGTCACGACCCAAACCTGCCCCCATGGGTTAAGGCCATAACCGGCCAGTAATCCTGAGATCACCTACGGCCTCAAACCAAATCAGACATAACTCATCAGAGTAAATGAGCCAAACGGAAGCAGAATTTAAAACTTTGTCCACAGAGCTGTGCTTACATGGCACATCATAACAAACCATACATATACATATTAATAACTCACATCAGAGAATATAGGAACATAAAGTTCTATACAGATAGGATCATTTGAGTCTAGGTCAGCCAATCAAAACTATAAACAAACGTAATTCAAAGTCTTCGCCGACATGACAGAATATAAACACATAACAAAAAGGCGAAGACGGGTCTCGTGCGTGAGACGCAAGGGCTAACTCTTCAAAACCTTGGTTGTTCCCCACTGACTTCACTGAGGCTGGGTTTGGACCTCTCTTGGCTCACCTACAAACACATGAATGAGCGTGAACGAAAGCCCAGTGAATAATATCAAATAAAGAAGATACTTTGGAACAATATACATCAATATACATCAAACGGCCTTAGGCCCAATTCATATTTTAATCTAGTTTATAAATAGATATAGATCAAGTAACTGCGGTTCCAAACACATCGGATGGCCTCGGGCCCAATCCATTCGTGTCAAACTGGCATTTGGCCCATTTATCTTTCATTCGTGTCAAATTGGCCTTTGGCCCATTTATCTTTCATTCGTGTCAAACTGGCCTTTGGCCCATTTATCTTTCATTCGTGTCAAACTGGCCTTTGGCCCATTCATTCATTCATGTCAAACTGGCCTCTGGCCCATTTATACTTTCGTATCAAACTAGCCTTCGGCCCATTTATACTTTCCATGTCAAAACGGCCTCTGGCCCACTCATTCATGTCAAAACGACCTCTGGCCCATCTATTCATGTCAAAATGACCTCTGGCCCATTCATTCATGTCAAAACGGCCTCTGGCCTATACATTCATTCTGATCAAAACGGCCTCTGGCCCATACATTCAGCGTAGCAAACATTGTCCACCAATTGAATCAACAAACTTATAAAACTTACATAGAAGTAAGCAATTGAGCTTATAAGACTTACATAGAAGTAAGCAATTGGACAACAACATATTTCAGATATCTTTGTCAAGATATTACTCACAGTGATCGGTTGGTTGGTTTGCCCTGGAACTCGACCCTACACATTCCATGAACACAAAAGGGTCACAAATAATTCAATCCGTCCCTTAATTCACATATTCCTCTCTAAGCTTCATTCTTATCTCTTTAACTCAATTACAATACTCAATACATGCCTAAGAGTACTTAGAAGTGAAAAAGAACGGAAAACGGAACACAGAATGCATAAACAAAATTTCAGAAAACAGGGTCCCCGCTCGAGCGTGGACTCCCCCGCTCGAGCGGACCCAATAGGTCTGCAAAAGTGCTGGTTGTATCATTTTTATGCTCGAGCGTGAACTCGAACGCTCGAGCAGAATTTCATCCTACATAGCTCCCCGCTCGAGCGTGAACTTCCCCGCTCAAGCGGGCACGTAGCCTGCAAGAAAATGTTGGGAGCTCGAATTCCCCGCTCGAGCGGCGGTTCCCCCGCTCGAGCGGACATCAAAGTTTCTGGGTTTTCTAGCAATGTTCTTAAGCTCAAATCCAACATTCCTACCAACATTTCTTGCATGCCACGGCCCAAATTTCACATATACATATACTAACATGATACCAACACCAAAATACATCATCATGGAGCTCAATTTCACAATTTAATCACATGCATGCCTCAATTTAATTCAAACTCATCACCAACACATTAGATTCAAACATGCAAGACTCAAACTCCCATGATTTGCACTTGCATGTGAAATATACACAATATCCTCAACTTAATTAGTGAAGAGATGATCTAATACATGGTCAATAATCAAAACTCAACATGGATTACATATACATTGTGCTCAAATATGGAAATTCATAGTAATTTCCTACATGCATGCATCTATTGACTTAAAATTCAACATATACAACTCAATCTCCTCACAAACAATTTAATTCATGTTCTTGACCAATATTCAAACTTGAATTCAAGATCAATTACCTACCTAGAGGCTCAACTTCTCCAATCAATGGCCAAATCTTGAGTTTAATCCTCCAATCTTCACAAAATTGAGCCAAACACCCAACTCCCCTTCTTTCTCTCTCTCTAGCCGACCCCCTCTCTCTTTTTCTTGAGTTAGAATCAGCCAAGTAGAATAACAAAGAGGATATTTGAGTATATAGTGCCCCACTAAAGTCCCATTAATTTAATAATAGACAATTGAGCACTTTATGATTAATTAAACCAATTTAATCTGGTTCGAATCAATTTCCAAATTAAACTTCACTGTAGGCTCTAAAAATTATGCCAATCACAATGGCGTAATCAATTTCGGGTTCTGTAGCCGATAAGACCTTCAATTTAATTTCCAAAGCAGCTAATCGAACAGATATTCCTACAGTAAACAGATAGAAATTCAAAACCATATATTTTCACATAATGGCACACAAAATCATATCAAACACATAATCATACTCATATTAAGGACCAGTTAACATAATACAGAGCACGGGTCTTACACCTCCCGTACCGAACGCCCTCGGTTACTGGATTACAGTTCCGTCGAGACCACGGTTCGTGGGTTAATGGCTTCTACGAGGGAAGACGTCAATGATTCGAAAATTAGGGTTTCCGAAAAAGAGTTGTGCGTCGCTGAGAATCCACCTGTTTTGTTCTCACACGCGGCGACTGAGTTGAATCACCGAGCGAACCATTTCTACTCGTCGAGTTCTGAGGAATCGGTGAGCGCGAACGTTCAATCGAATCCTCTGCTTCTATTCACGACTCGGCCGATGTGTTTCTCGCCATCGTCTACTTCGAATTCATCAGAGATCGCTGCTGATGAAACGCTAAACCCTAATTCGATCTCTGAGGGCGAACAGTTCGTTGTGAAGCCCAAGAGTCAGGACGTGTTTGAGCAAGAACAAGGTCTGATAGCTCTAAGAAAGCTCATGAGGATGAAGGAGGAAGCTAGGGTTTGGGGTT